CAACCTCCCGCACAACAGTCCAGCACTCTATCTGCCTTTGTATCTCAGTATGTATAAAATAAAATGAATTTATTTGTACCAGTAATAATCTCGTACCTGTTTCAACTCCCCTTGGTACAACAAGGAAAATATAATGAAGAGCTGGAACAGCATTGAAAACAGTTCTGTAAAAAGAGAAAAAAGCCCCTTTGGCTTTTCAATTTTCATGATAACAATAGTCCTTTTTACAGTTGTGGGCTTGGTGGCCAAGCCTTTGAACAGGAGTGAGGCTAAGGGTGACCCTGTTGTGATAGAGACCTGTATCTACTTAGTATGATAACAAAGAAATTTGAATTTGAAAAGCAGCAACATCTCTATCGTAACAAGGTCACCCTTAGCCTCACTCCTGTTCAAAGGCTTGGCCATCAAGCCCACAACTGCATGAAGGACTATTTAAGATTATACACACAAAAATAGATGAGATTAATTCTGCATAATTATACATGTGGCAGGAACGCAAATGGTTACCAATCAATATCCTCATTTTTCTAGAGATTACTTAACACTCACCTGATTATTTCAGTTACACAGCCATATGCAAAATCTGCCTTTGCTACAAAGTAGTTCATGAAGAGAGTGTTGAGTGGCTGGTTAAATAAAAACAATACAGTAGTATTAGATTTGGGTGATCAACTATTGGAAATTAAAAAATACCTAAAACAATTTTATATACAGAGGGTGATGACAACCAGTTACTAATGAAAACAAATGAGAAAACTGATAAGTTCCTGCTGGATCATTTTTTAATGATGCCTACGCTATAGCTCAGAATCTTTTATAGTGTATTAAAATTAAAAATTGTAGCTAAAAGCAGGGGTGCTTATTGGAAATAGGGCACTTAATCAGGCTTGTTGATAAACACTGGCTGCTGACCAAATTTGCCCCATGAAAAAGTGGGGATTGCCAGCTGGATTTTTGGCCAGCGATCACTTGGTAATTAAGGCACAGTGGGTACTTTTGAGGTTACACACTTACAATTGTTCACTACCTTTGAGTCACCTCATTTGAAATTTCAGCCAGCAGCATATTTTCTTGACTACAACCCTGCTTAATTGAGGGGGGCTTTTACTATTCTTCTGTACTTATTCCCATGTAGCTGAAGCTTAAAAAGTTTTAAAGAAAGTGGCAATCTAAACAAGTTTTCCTTGTATCCTTACTGTTTAAGAAAGTGTCACGGGAGGTGGGGGAAGGGCTTGTATGACACTATGTCCTGGGAGGAAGGCGCTTTTTCAGGAGAAAGCGCTTATTAGAACGTGGGTGCTTGTTCAAGGAAATACAGTATTAACAAGAAATCTATTTCAGAATCACAATAAACTTACACTGCAGTTTTTGCTGTCATATTTTGTATGAAACCACTCTTCCCACTTGCTAGGATCCAAACTTCGTAGATTGGGGTAATCAAAGAATGCTGCATGACCCATGACATCATTGTTTGCATTGACCAATGTTACAGCCAAATTGGCTTTTTCACTGCAAAGTTAATGAAATATTTCGGATTAAAAATATTAAATGATGTAGAGAAATCAATCCAGTGGGACTATATTCCTGAGAAAGACTATTATTTGTAGTAGAGACTGACTTTTTTTTTTACAACAATAGCAGATCAGAAGTCATCCCTTGAGTCAAGAGAAAGTTATTTGTGAGTCCAAAGGTATACATATAAGTATGGTCCATGTAACTGACAGGGCAATTTTGATCCATTGAAAAAGTAAGTTCATTCTGTTCAGATTGTTTAATGTGTAAATTAATTGAAAAGTAATTTGTAAGGTGGTAGTTGTTGTTGACATCTGTTAAAGGGAGTCTGCTCTAGGTTAGTGAATCACAGTCAGTTTCAGTTGTGTTGAAAGTAGGTTGTGCTGTAGCACAGAGTCCCAGTGGGAAGTATGAGTCAATGTGATTACAATGTGATCATTTGTGCCACTATTTCTTGATATTGATTTGTGGTTGGTCAGTCTTGTAATTGATTGAGGTTCCTGATGATATTTTCAACTCATTTTTTCTCTGATAATCTCTGTTACATCATGTTGAAATAAGATGCAATTAAAATTGTAACCAAGATCTTTCTTGCTATAGCAATCACCTCTCCATATAATGAAACTAAAACATGGATCGCCATACATTATTTTTTTTATTTAAAAGGGTCGGTTAATCTACCACATCAACTGAAGTTTACTTACATAACATTTACGACATTTACACGACCAAAGAGCTTTTCTGTTGTGGCGCTGGCAAGTTTCAATATCTCTGGTGCATCCAAAGATTCTGTTCGGCGCGCCTGAATTACTTCTTGGGACGAATTCGACGTCATATTTCTAAGATCCAGCAAAGAAGAAACACTTTGTGTATCAGCTAAAGATCACACAATCCTGAGCCTATTGTTGTCCACAAGACAATTGCTTTATAATGCAACATTGCAGTAAACGGAAAAAATACATTCGCGTGACTCTCTCTACTCTTAAAATGTGTCTTCCTAATAGCTAAGTGTATCAAAATATAATCATGAAAATTCGTGTAAATTATCAGCTCAACTAAGTAAGCGAAAAACAACCCCCCAAAACGTTAATTTTCTAATTCCTTCCCTGAAAATGTCAGTAACCGAGAGAAAATGAGCTTGGATTGCAGCTATCGGAGGGAAAACCGACCTTTCACGGTGAAAATTTCAAAAAATTCTCAAGTCCATTTCCATCCCGCCATCATGAACTTTGACGATCAACAACAAGGCACTGTTGCTTGGAAACAAGGCAGACTGGAGACTGAGACGACTAAGACCCAGTCTTTTGTATACAAAGGTCTAGACCCAGTTTTCTCTCCTTTAAATATCGTGATCTTTTCAAAAAAAATATAAATAAAAGGAAAAAAAGGGACAAGCGATTTTAATGAGTAAAAAATCTCCAAAAAATTGATAAAAAAATCGTAATAGATCTCAGCAAATTAAAAAATATAGTGATCAGAAGGCTTTAATTTTTCTGGGTGTTAGATGGAATTGAAGAGCAAGTGACAGGGGATCCAGACCTTAAGCTAAGGAGGGGAGGGGAGGTGTTTTTTTTTTTTTGTGCGTGTGTATACACCTGTCGGCTTTTCTTCCCTCTGCGATATTTTAACCCAAAGTAAGGGGCCCTCCCCAAGATCGTTCACGTTGGCAGCAATCCGACTGAACCCACCCAATAAAGTTAGGTATATGTTTTACATATGATGCACGATCCTCGCAGTAGAGAGCGCTATTTATGCAATAGGCCTGATTTTTTTCAGGTCTGATTTTCGCTATTGCATAAATAGCGCTCTCTACAGCGAGGATCGTGCATCATATGTATCTGATACCGCAGTTCAAAATATATGAACTTCATATATTTCATTGAGTCTAATAATCCCTTAGTTGATATTTTTTTTTATCCCCATCACGTTCCTGCTTGATATTGTATTGATATTGTTAGGGGAAATCAGTTCTGTCTCGGCCATACTTAATTAAGACACTCACTGGGCCATTGAGCAATGATTTTAGGTTATTAGGGCGAAGTATTGTCATTCGATCAAGTCCGAGGCTCTTCCAGCGTGTACGTGACAGAATGTGGTAGAATTTCTCCTTACAATATCGATACGAAGTCAAGCAGACAAGTTAAGAGAATAAAGTAAACATTTTTATTTGGGGGATTATTAGTTGATCTGATACCAAATTTGGTCAAAACTATCGAGTAAGAACAGGGCCATAACTTCTTTATCAACATTTAAAGCAAATATTATGAGGGAGAATCTTGCTACATTTATTACTGATGGCGGCTGCATAAACTGTTGCATTTGTAATTCTTAATTAACGGGAGCTTAATTGTTACTTTATTGTAATTGTCAAGTACCAATTAAATTTAGTCGTAAGTATAGGCAATTTAACATATTGTAAAAATTTCATTGAAACCTAGATATTTATACACCCGCTATATATTTATACACCGCTACTAAATATCTTAGCGTGATTTTTAGATTTTAGTGTAATTTTAAGTGTCCCCGGTAAGAAGACCACTTGTGCTCAGCTAGGAGATTTGATACGATAATAAAGTTACTGACACGATAATAAAGTTACTGACTGACTGACTGACTGAAATTCTCCTAGCTCACAAAATAAGAATTGTATAGCAGATACTTGGGAGAATCATCAATGATATCTTGGAAGCAGTAGGGTTAAACATTTATTCGTACTACGCATAAATCAGTTGTATCCCTACCAACAGCTTTTTCCTCAGCAGAATTTAGATGCTGATATAACAATAATAATAATAATAATATTTATGATAATATTACTTCTACTGCGCCTTCTCTATACAATATTCAAAAGTGCATCACAATGATATAACTTAATAACTAAACTTACACCTCTATTATAAATTTTACAAATCTTTCAATAAAGCTTACAAACTATTTACATTTAAAAATCTAATATAGAATAAAAACAACTGTAGAAGAACTTCTAAGATACTAATGGATAAAAGAAAATTACTAACATAAGCGAAATGATTCCTTGTATAAAAATGTTTTAATCATAGTATTAAAAGATTCTAAGTTCCTTGCTTCCCGTGCAGACCTAGGTAACTTTCTCCAAACTAACATCGTAAGAACTGTATTGCAGACAGTAAGGAGAATTGCTAATGAGATCCTGGGAATGAAATGGTTAAGTAAGTTGAGCTTCTATCACGCGGCTGGGTTCATGCCGGGAGGTGCATTAAGGCTGGAGGTTGTCACACGATTGGATTATCAATATTTCAAGAATCTTTCATACCTCCATCAGTTGTCATGTCGCAGTAAACTTTTGAAGGGTCTCCGCTGTTCCCGAGGTCGATCCGGTACTCCCCCTTTCCTTTCGATGTCCCATTATCCAAGATATGTTTACAAGAATTCCCAGGGTTTTCTTTAACGTGACCGAGGATCGCTAGATGCAACGAATCATAACGAAAATACATGTCTTAGGCGTGAGTTACGCCTAAATTTTATTGGTGTCCTCAAAAACTCTGAAAAGTAATCGCTTAACAACACAAAGTGATAAAAATTAAAGATGGTTGGCTATAACAATAATGATAAAACCCTTTCACTCCCATGGGTACCCAAGACAGTATCAATACAATATCAAGCAGACAAGTGATGAGAAAAAAAATATCAATTAAAGGATCCTAAGTGGATCCAATTGCATATTCTCTGAAGAAACGTTATGTGAATTGTATGGCAGACAGTAAGAGGAATTTCTTATCAGATCTTGCCAGTGAAAGGGTTAAATCTTATCAGTTGTCGGTAAGGAAGGCAGAAATTCAGAAAACTGTCACAAAAAGTTTTACCAGTGGAACAGTGTTCCCCTGTGTATCCTGTAGAACATATACAGCGGTATCCTTTATCTCCAAATCCTGTTTGACAGCGGCCATTCGATGAACAACCTAA